GTGTGTGTGTGTGTGTGTGTCTGCAGCATCCTGAAGGACTTTAACGCGTGTCAGTGTCAGGGCTGTAAGTGTCGTCAGGAGCTGCGTACCTCTCAGTTCAGTGACAGTCTTCATGTCTATGACTGGAGCGTCAGCTACGCGCCGGACCCCCAAAACGTGCGCTGGTAAGGAATACACTTATTCACTCTCTCATTCCTTCTCTTTTGCTCATATGTTTTCTGCATGCATGGACAATGACCCATTACAACCAGAGCCCACGGTGAAGAACTGTTTCCAATCCATTTTTTCTAATGCTTTTTTATGCAAAGCACTTGATTTGACCTTCTGTTTCTTGAGCTCTTTTTTTAATGGGTCTGCAAATAATTATTGATTCATAATGTGTACTGAAGGGCCCGATGATATCAAACATAGACAAAATCACAGAATCCAGTCATAAAAAAGAATTGACAGTATAATGCAGAATTTCATAAAGATTAATTAATAACATTTTTAATGGTTTGTGCTTTTATTTTTACCATCATACTATACATTTATATTAAATCATAAATCCAGAAAAATTAGAAGACAACACAGAATTTCTGAAAAGATAAAACATTTAATTGGGCACTATTATTGTAAAATGTATTCAGCTAGTTATTAAATTGTTAAAAGTTTTATTAATTAAACTGATCAGACATGCTGTTTGTTATTACAATTTAATTAAAATGGAATTTAACAAAACAAAAAAACAGAATTTGTGAAAATAAATAAAATTCAGTTTTTTATGGAATGGAATTCATAGGACCCTAAACATGTCATTTTTATTAAACTTAAATCGTTATTAATTCAATCATAAAAATAGGATTTATGGTACAATGCAAAATTTCATAACGATTAATTCATTAATTAAATTGTTCATGTTTTATGCATTCATTTGATTACTGACATTTTTGCTAAGAAATGTGTATTAAATCATAAATCACAGACAACACAGATTTTCTGAAAAGATTAAACATTTCATAGAGCCCTATTATTTTAAAATATATTCAATTATAATAAGTTTTATTAATTAAATTGACCAGACTGCGGTTCAGTTAATTAAATTGACCAGCTGTTTATTGTTAAAATTTAATAAAAACATTATTAAATCCAAAAACAGATCAATTAAAATAGAAAACACAAAATTAGGGGAAAAAATAAAACCGAGTTTGAGGGAAAAACTGATTTCATAGAGCCCTAAAAATTAAATAATTATTAAAAAAACGGAATCCAAAATAATAAAAAGAAATTTGGGAAAAAAATCTTAATCTGATTTCATAGTCTCTAATACGGTTTCACATCCAGTACTAATGTAAAAACACAGTATACAGTGAGCAGTGCGCTGTTATTGGATTCCCAGCAGCCGCTTCTTTGCTGACTTCATTATGTGCAGGACTCACCCATGAGCAGTCAAGAGCTGTGTGTGTGTGTGTTTGTGTTTCTTGATCACAGGGAGAATCTGTCTTTGGGAGGAGTTTCCTGGTGGCTTCGCTGCTTCATCATTAACTGCATCCTCTTCCTCCTCCTCTTCTTCCTCACCACCCCGGCCATCATCATCTCCACTATGGACAAGTTCAACGTCACCAAGCCTGTGGAGTATCTGAACGTAAGACTGCCACAAACTCCATGGCTATTTCTAGCGTCAAGTGAAAGTGAAAATGGTGCCAAAAAAGTCGTTCAGAACACTTTTGATGTTCATATAGACCGAGCAATGACAGTACAAAAAAAAAAAAGAGCATTTGCATTGAAACAAAATGTAGAAAAAAACCTGACTTGATGCTGGTTCACGGCAGGACAAAACCCCAGATTAGCGTGGAGGAGATGTGATTCATCTGAGTAATGAAACATCCTGCTCCACAAATTAGACCGAGTTCATCTCTCATATTGTGAAAGACAAGAACATGGCGTTGTCATATTTCAAAATAATACAAAAAAGAAAGAAATTACGTTTTTATTAGCAAACAGTCATTTTTGCATTGTGACATTTTGATTTGCATTATTTTAATGACAATCTTTTGTCTCTACAATAATAATAATCATAATGATGTAATAACTTAATAAATTATATGATTAGGAACAATAACTACATTACATTTAATATTATTTTAATGCACATTAATTTTATTATTAATAATAATTATGTATAATGACAATATGTTGTGTTATAATAATGATGATAATGAATAATAAGAAAAAATAATACATTTAATAAATTGTACATTTAAGAATCAATTATATTAATAATAATAATAATAATACATATTAGTCATTTTATATATAAATACAGTTTGTAATGCATAATAATTATAATAATAGATTATATATAATAACAATACATTATGCCTCCATCATCATAATGTAGAATTACTATAAGTTCAAAATGTATCATAATCATCATCATAATGACAATATTAATAATACACCATCTTTTTCCATAATACATTGTATTATTATTATTATCATTATGTATAGTTAAAATCGGTACTGAATCAGTAATAAACACCGAGACTAATACTATAAAACTACTACTAATAATAATAATTGTATTCCATTGTAATTAATAATAAATGTTATTATTATTGTTACAATAATAATAATAATAATAATACAATAAATATATTTTATAGTTAAATTACTATAATAACTGAGTAATTATAAATCAAGCTAGTATTTTTTTATTCATTTATTTATTTTTTGATACTCTACTTAAGGTTTAAACTGCAAGAAATCTCAATGGTCCTATAAACAGGCTTGCTTTATTTTTGCAAGAATATTTTTGTACTATTTGCTTAGGATTTTGGGTTGAACCATGACCTGGACGTCAAGTTCTTCATGAAATTCACCCAAACAAGGTTTCTATTATTATTATTATTATTATTATTTTGCTGATGTGCCGAGACCGAGGAGGGATGTACGAGCAGGTGATGGAGGAAAGAGAGTGTAAACACATGCTGATGTGTCTGTGTTTGTCTGTGTGTCTAGAACCCCATCATCACCCAGTTTTTCCCCACGCTGCTCCTGTGGGCCTTCTCCGCCCTGCTGCCCACCATCGTCTACTACTCCGCCTTCTTTGAAGCCCACTGGACCAGGTACAATCCCACAATCCCACACGACTCAAATCAGATATGTGACCCTGGAGCACAAAAGCATTAGCAATATTTGTAGCAATAGCCAACAATACACTGCATGGGTCAAAATTATCAATTTTTCTTTTATGCCAAAAATCATTAGGATATTAAATAAAGATCATGTTCCATGAAGATATTTTGTAAATTTCCTACTGTAAATATATCAAAACTTAATTTTTGATTAGTAATATACATTGCTAAGAACTTCATTTGAACAACTTTAAAGGCGATTTTCTCAATATTTAAGATTTTTTTTTGCACCCTCAGATTTTTGGAGATTCCAAATATTGTCCTATCCTAACAAACCATACATCAATGGAAAGCTTATTTATTCAGCTTTTAGATGATGTATAAATCTCAATTTCAAAAAATTGACCCTTATGACACAGATCTGCTCTGAAGAGTGTCAGGTGTTTTATCTGGTGTGTTTCTCAGGTCGGGCGAGAACAGGACCACCATGCACAAGTGCTACACTTTCCTGATCTTCATGGTTCTCCTGCTGCCTTCTCTGGGTCTCAGCAGGTACCGTCTGAGATCTTTACATTTGTGATGAGGGCGAGAGATCCTGTGGATGTGGGCAGGGTGCGAATTACGGGGGGGGTTTGGGGGGGTCTGACCCCCCTAAAGAAGGCTTTAACCGCCCTGATGGACGTCAAAACTAGATGTAGGGAGGCTATAGCCCTAAATGATTTTAAAATATAATTTCTGGCAGCTCCTGAAATGGGTCGTATTGACAGTACCTGAGCGGTAGAAGAATACGCTACAGCGCTCATTCAAAGACGTGCATTTATTGCTTGGACGGAGCAAGAACACCTAAAATGCACGTGTAGATTCAGTCGAGTGATCGTGTGAAGTTTACCCTCTTCAACTTAATGCTGCTGAACTCAGTTTATGGAGCAAAACTATTTGCTAAAATAACCATAACATTAACAGCACCGCTGAAATACAAGCGCACGGTTCTGTCAGTCAGATGCGCGTGAAAGCTGCATGTGTTACTATAACGAACACTGCTTTCTTTCAGAATCATCATTGGCTGGTAGAAAGACAAAAATAGGTTACATAAAAGTTTTACATAAAAGGTAAAGGTGTGAATAATTACATTTTAGACACATTGTCAGTAATTTCACCAATGAAAATAAAGCCCTAAGAGAACTGTTGTGCGTCTCAGATCAACACACAGCGGTGTTTCATTAATGAATCCATGTTTTTAAAAGAATCGAGTGAATCAATGATTCAGTGAACCATTCATAAAGGCAGTCACTTGCTTCGTTTCTGATTGAATCAGCCATTTGAACTAATCGATTGAATTAATGATTGAATGACTCACTTAAGACAGGGCTTTGCCGCCACCTACTGGCGCATTTAGTTTTATATTCAGAGTATCGTTTCTTTTTCAAATAATTTCATATTTCACGATTTATTTGTATTTTTTATGTTGAATTAAAAATATTTCTTTCTAAAGCTACTTATATTTCAGCTACCTTTTTGTAATGTCTATTCAGTGTTTTTTTTCTAAATTAACACAATGATAACTATTATCTTTAATCGGCACATGATGTACATGTTAATTAATCTCATTAATTTGAGATTCATTTGATTAATTAATCGGCACATTATGTAATTAATTTTTTTTTTTAAATAATCACTTGACAGCCCTATTTAAAACATAAAAAATGCACCCCCCTGGTCACTGCGTAATTCGCACCCTGGATGTGGGAGGTTTATTTGAATCTGTAATTGCATATTTAATTCATTATTTATGTCTGTCATGGGACTTATCTGAGTATCTGCCTGAAGCTCTGATGATCTGATGATCTGCTCAGTATTTGTACTGATATGTTTGGTGCAGATGCTTGGTGAATGATTTTACTATAATTAGCTTTTTAGTATATTAAACATTACTCGTTTGCTGGTGATGACTGCTAGCGCTCTTCAATATATAAAGGCTTGTTGAAATCACAAACCCCAAGTGTTAAACTTCAGATGACAGTTTCATAATACTAAATGTTCTTCTCCGTGTTAGTTTGGACGTTTTCTTCCGCTGGCTGTTTGACAAAAAATTCCTGGCTGAAGCCACCGTCAGATTTGAGTAAGTTTATTTTATTTTATTTCATTTCATTTCATTTTTTATTTTATTTTATTTTGAACTTTATAGCCAGTTGTATAATTGTATTAATTTAAATATTTAGATTTATGTATTGAACTTCTGAATGTTTAGTTCAGTTTTTTTTGTTGTTGTTGTTGAAATGCTTAAACTTTGCCAATTGTAGCATTTCATTTAAATATGCATATATTAATGAACAGAACTTTTGAATCTTTTTAATTGTTTATTTTATTTTATTTAAATGTTCATATATTGCTTAACTGAAATTCTGAATGTTTAAATGGTTTTTATTTTATTTTTTATTTTATTTCATTCTTTTGAATTGCTTAAACTTTCTTGCCAATTGCAGCATTTTATTTAAATACTCGTATATTAATGAACTAAACCTCAATATCTTGATTATTTTATTTTAATTTTTTTAATGCTTAACAGACGTTCTTGCTGCTTCACACGTGTTTCTTGCTTGCTTCTAACTTTTTTTTTTTTTTTTTTTTTATATAAATATTCATATATTAATCAAATTAAATTTCTGAATGTTCACAAACCGGCTTTTAGTTTTTAGTTTTGATTTAGTGCATATATTGAGGTGCTGATTAACTGATTTCGTCTGTAATTTCAGGTGTGTCTTCCTCCCTGATAATGGAGCGTTTTTTGTGAATTACGTCATCACGTCGGCGTTCATCGGAAACGCCATGGATCTGCTGCGGATTCCAGGTCTGCTCATGTACATGATCCGGCTGTGTTTGGCTCGCTCGGCTGCGGAGAGACGCAACGTCAAACGGGTACAAAGACATGCACCTGTCGACCTTTTAAACCATTCGCATGATCTTGGTCCTTAATTTCACTCTTTTTTAGGAAATGTTTTAGGACCATTAAATTGTTTTTGCTTTGTGACGTTATTTTCATGAATATTACACCCATTTTTAGCCAAAAACGCTTCACCTTATTTTATTAAACATTCATTCAATTGTATTTTATATATCTATTTATTCATTCATTCAGTCATTCATTTAATTGCATTTTATTCATATATTAATTAATTTATTCAATTAATTGTGTTTTATCCATTCATTCATTTTTGTTTTGTTTTGTTTTGTTTAAACCAGCATCAAAGGCAGACCAACAAATATTACCATAATGTATATAAATACTTTACAATTTAAATATCTTTAATTATTTATTTAATAGTGTTTTTTATAAATTAATTAATTCATTCATTCATTCATTTATATATTTATTAAATTAATTTTATCTAATTCTAATTTTATCTAATAATTTTTTCATTTATATATTTAATTAATTGTATGTATGTATGTGTGTATTTATATATTTTAACCAGCATTAATTAAAGACAGACCAACAAATATTACCATGATGTATAATCAATTAATAAATTACTTTATTTATTTGATTATTTTTTAAATAATATTTTTGTTTATTTATTTATTGCAGTAATTATGTAAAATGTGCTCGTTTGTCATGAAAATGTTGCAGTGGTTAAAAAATCTTAATGGTCCTTAAAATATTAATTAATTTTAATAAATGAAAATTGAAACAAATGAATTTCCTTTAAGCAAAAAAAAAATATTTGTTTCCTTTTGATGGAGGGATGTATTTTTTTGTTTTTGATAAGTTTTAGAGATTCATCCACCCACAATGAGTTATTTTTACCTGCTGTTCACCTGGATGTGATGCGTTTAGTTGTGTAACGTGTGTGTGTGTGTGTGTGTGTGTGTGTGTGTGTGTGTGTGCGCGCAGCATCAAGCCTATGAGTTTCAGTTTGGAGCTGCCTACGCCTGGATGATGTGCGTTTTCACCGTCGTTATGACGTACAGCATCACCTGCCCAATCATCGTCCCCTTCGGTGAGTCTGGCCACGCCCACTTCCACATCAGCCCATTCACGAAACCACAGACCGACAGCCAATCAGAGAGAGAGAGACAGACGAACAACAAGGATGAAAGAGAGGATAAGGGAGAAATGCTGTGAATGACACGACTGAAAGAGTGTGTGTGTGTGTGTGTGTGTGTCCAGAGCGCCTCCTGCTGGCTGCATGTCTGCATGCATCTTCAACAATGGAAAACGCAAGCTGCGCCAGCAGAACCACCTGCCTATGCACTGTGTCTCTGTGTGTGTGTGTGTGTCCAATAAAATATAGATCCTCTGCCTGCGTATTCACTGCAAAAGCACACAAACGGAGAAGACTTGCTGCATTTGAGCAGTAATCTCTGTTGTCTGTCGCTGAGCTTTTGTATGCTCACGTTATTTCTAGAAGTCTCTCAGAAACACACACACACACACACAGGTGTTCGTCGAGCTGGCGGTGTGTGACTCATCGCTGTTCTGCGGAGGAAACTTTATTTCTGTCTCTCAGCCCACACTGTAAACGCAGACGGAGATGCTCATTTGAGACGCAGCGGTTCACATCTGACACGCGATTAACCTCACGTCTGCACACATGTTGATATCACGTTGCGTCTGAAATGAAAACACACTACAGGCTGATGTTTTGTCGCTTGAAAGATGCTAAGACAGACCTCATGAGATTACAATATTAAAGGGGTGGTTCACTGTTTTTTTTCTAGGCTTGATTGTGTTTATGGGGTGCAGTCTAACATGTGTTAATGCTTCGTTTTTAAAAAAACTCATTATTTTTCACATAATTTACCTTTATTCCACACCGCTCTGTCCCATCTATGAAAAACACACTGATCATTTCCTTCTTTTATGAAGCACCTCCCTCAAAAATAGGCGATGGGCTCTGATTGGTTAGCTAGCCCAGTGTGTTGTGATTGGCTAAACCGCGTCTAGTGCAC